CCACAGGCAGAAACAGAATGTAATATTTAAAAAAAATTATGTCTCATGAAAAAAAAAGGTTTTCCTTTCTATTTCATTCAGTAAATAAAACTATCTTATAGATTGGCTTATTTTATTTAGGAAAATTGAGGATGTTTTCAGAACAGAGTATAGGCTCATGAAAACAGAGAAACTTATATCTGTATTGGGCACTGGCATGGATTTATCCTCACTAATGTTTCCTCAGAGGATAAGGATGCTAAGGAATCCTGGGGTAATTACGGATGTAAGAATTGTATTGTTCCAATGTATTTCTTTTTTGTTTACTTAAATTTCCTCTTAAACTTCTTTAGTATTAGACCGTGAGCTCTTTGGGGGCAAGGACTCGATTCTACTAATTTGTACATTTCCAGTGCCTGATACTTAATAAATGCTTGATGACTAAAAGAATAAAAAAATGAATCATCCAACTTTCCATTATCATGATTTTCTTCACCCTTTTTTCTGGTCTGGGAATATCAGAGAAAAGATTATGAAATTTGGTCTTATCCTTTACTCTTCCCTTCTTGCCAGACTGGCATCTGCACTGAATTTGTATGCACATAAAAATCCTTTTATGTTCTGAAAAGCTTGAGGGACTCTGCTCTAGGATTTAGGGATTACCATTCACAGGACACTTAATGCTGGTGGGTTCATAAATTCAAAACTGAACCTAATAATTTGCTTGCATGGGCCAGTGACAGAGATGGCAATACAGATGGGACAGTCATGGTTATTCATGAATCAAAGTTGTTCAATAAATACAGCTCACTTTCAATTTTCAATCATGCTGCATATCATACGCTAGAAATTTCACATTTCTCAATGTCAATGCTTTCTATATTTAGTCTCTACAGCTGTAAAATCTCAAGCTATTTCCATGTAAGTGACAAAAATACTCAAATGGGTGGTTCTAAGAGAATGTCAACAAAATTGTTCAAATATTTGTAAAAATACAATTAGATGGATTCATGTCTACAATTTGGATTTCATATTTTATCTGATATCTTCAGCATGTCACTTTTGTGGGGTAATATTTTCCTTTTAGAAGGCAATCTTAAAAGCTGTTGAAAAGAAAAACTACCTTTTTTGTTTCACAATAGAATTCTCATCCAGCCTAATCGTGACATTTAGCAATGCCCATCCACTCAGAAACATAAAGAGATATCATGAAAATGTCCTCAAGCCCCTTACCATTAAAGACACATTGTCTGGGGGGTTAGGGGCTGTCATCATTCTGACCTTGTCTTTTTGCATGTTCTTTCCATCTTAATTGCCATGACCATTCTATAAGATGGATCATTTAGTCAATTTAATAAAAAATCAATCACTGTTTGATTTGAATTAATTGGCTAATGTATTTGAAAGTGTCAAGTTAGTTGCAGATAAAAATAAGTTTAAGTCAAAATGCTTGGTTCATTATTTCTTAAGCCAATTAAGATGTGATGGAAGCTTCCTTGCAAAAGTCAGAAATGCCATATGTAAGTAGGTTCTTGACAGATGGTATCAGGGGAAGCCTCCAACTGAGATCCTTACTGCTGCCCTGCAGGGTTGCATCAGGGAAAAGGATGTCAAAACCAAGTCATCAGCAAAAGGAGCTACCAGAAGTTGGGATCAAGAACTCAGGTTAGGAGTCAAACAAAAACCAAGAAAATAGAAAGAGAGTCTCCCTTGCTAGACTGTGACTCCATAAGGGCAGGAACTCTATTTTACTTACTGTTTTAGCCTGAGCACTGCACTGAAACATAGCAGGCACTCAATAAATATTAGTTGAATAAACAAATGAATAAATAATAAATGAGACTCAGATGAAACATACAGCAAGCCAGATCAGGGACATATGAGATCAAAATTTGACTTTGTAAAAGGGTTACAATCAGAGTCAGGCTGCAACCAAATCAGGAGCACCTGCAGTCAGAGTCAGAGCTGAGGAGGGAGAGCACAGGCATAGCGATTTGGCTGGCGAAGATCAGGTAAGGACATTAAGAGCCTTAGGAACTTTAGTGCCATTGATGTTCATCTTCCTCTAAATGACCCTCCTTGCTCAGGAAAAGCCTCCCCCAATTAGCAGGAGAGAAAATACAAAGATGTTAGTCAAATGAGTCACAAATAAATCCAAGTTTTATTATTTATTAAGGAGAATGCATTGAGGTGTGATCATTAGTTAATACCACACAATGTAGTCCAGAGATATAGTCATCGATATCAAAGTGGCACATGAATATGTACTTGACAGGAAACATGTTCTAGAAAAAAATAAATTTGTGCACATGACTTCAGAAATGATTTCTTATTCATTTACCTCCCCTATTAAGCCTGGTACATCAAGGGAAACTTCCCATATAAAAATATCATCTTGACTTTTCTTAACTGCTTTTGTTTGAGGTTAAAATAGTTTTCTGC